TGATCGAAGGTATTACCAGGGAAGCCAGTTGGCCTGTCGATCACGAAAGGGTGATCAAAGGTATTTGCAAAACGACGCCCAGTCAAGATTGATGAAGTAAGAAGAGTAGGACGTTAAATAAGGGGAGTGATAATCACACTCCACCCCCCTTCGCACACACACTCCAACACTCCCTTTCTGAAGGGAGTGTGGGACCGCACGCCAATTTCGATTGGCGTGCGGTCCCACACTCCCTTCAGAAAGGGAGTGTTGGAGTGTGTGTGCGAAGGGGGGTGGAGTGTGATTATCACTCCCCTTATTTAACGTCCTACTCTTCTTACTTCATCAATCTCCGTCCTGCTAATATTTGTCTGCGTGTTGCATTGCAAGACCGCATTCTCGTAGACAGTATTGGAGACGCTGTAATCCCGACCCGGTTTGGCAATCTTCACCTCAAGAATTTCTTGTTTGTGGGACAGTTGTATCAGCGGTGGGCCGCTACGGGCCCATGTAGCGTTAGCGTAGCGGCGCCAAATTTTTTTTTTGTGTAGTGTTAGCGCGTCGCTACGGCCGCTGCGCTACACTAATTTGTAGCGGCGCTAACACTAGCCATTTTTTGGTGTAGTGTTAGCGCGCCACTGGCGCCGCTACGCTGTGTTACGCTACGCTACAGCGTTTTTAGCGGCAAAAAACGCCAGAAACCCGCTAAAAATCGCTGTAACGCAGTGTAGCGGGCAGTTTTTGGCGGCCTGTGCGTGTAGCGTTAGAGCAGATGGGGGGAATCGCGCTAACGCTACGCTAAACGTTAGCGCACGTTTTCGCCCCATTTGCGTAGTGTTAGCGCAAAAAATGAAAAAAGCGCTAACGCTACGCTAAAGTGTAGCAATTTTTCGCTACACTACGCTACGCTAACGCTACGGTTGGCGTAGCTGGCCCACCGTTGGTTGTATTGCTGGGGTTCTTTGACCGTTGGGACGGCAAGGTTGAATTCTGTGACGGCTGTTTCTTTCTCATTCAAGGCACTCAGTCTTTTCCAACATATCCTTTGAATTATTGGTGGTTTATTTCCTCCTCCAAGTTATGCTCTTCTATTGCTTCTTCTCCTTCCCCTCAGTTGTCTTCCCTTTCTGTCTCCAATCTATGGCACACTTGTCTTGGGCATGTTGTGATCCGTTTTTTCAATTGTACTATCAGTAATTAATGTGTTTCCAGTATACCTATGAAAAGGTTTCCTTCCCCAAAATCCAAATGCCACTCTTGCTCCCTTGCAAAAAGAACTCAATCGCCTGTTAAGTCCCCTTCAAGAGATATTGTTGATGCTCCAGGCAACATGGTGGTGGTTGATCTTGTGGGCCCTTTCCCCCTGCACTTGATGGCAGCACATTCGGTCTGGTGATACATGATGTTTTTTCACGGATGACATCTGTTGTTGGGCTCAAGACTAAGGCTGAGGCAAGGCAGGGGCGGTTCCAGATTGGATCATGGATTTCAACCAACTGACTCCATTTTGGGTAAAGGCTATCCAATCTAACAATGCTGGAAAAATGACTTCTCACAAGTTCAACAAGTTCTTGAAAGACAACAACATTCAGCATGAGCTCAGCATTACCTATGAACACCATCAAAATGGTAGTGTTGAAAGGACAAATCAAACACTCCTTGATATGGCTCTTACTTTTATCATCCATGCTAAGTTGCCTGCTTCTCTATGGTTTCTTGCAATGAAAAAGGCTGCCTATATCTTTAACCGTGTTGTACATGCTGAGGCCAACAAGTCACCCTATGAACTCTGTATGAAGAAAAGGCTGTCGTTGGATATGGTTTGCGTTTTTGGCTGCAGGGCATATCTCCACAACATCAACTATCCCAAGAAATTCATTCCTAGGTCTTCTCCTTTGATTCATGTTGGTATTCTTGATTATTCACACATTTGGAACCTTTGGAACCAAGTGACAAAGAAGTTAGAAGGTGGTGCTTTGGTAATTTTTCATGAAGATGACTTGCCGTCTCAAGTGACAAACTCAGGACCTTTGAATGCAATCCTCAATTCTCTCAAGGTTGATCAACTCGGGGACTTTAGCGGACTCGAGGAACTCGATCTTCAAGATGCATGTATTGACTCAGCAGTATCTGTCTCGTCTTTCAGTTTAGACACTCCTAACACTTATTCTCAGGCAATTAATTCTACTCTTTGAGCGGAATGGTCAGTGGCTATTGACACAGAAATCGGCATGATGCTTGAACTGCGAGTGTGGGAGGAAGTGCCTGAAGTGGAAAGTGTTGACTTACTCACTTTTTGTTGGGTTTTTTCTCTGAAGCGTAGCAACGCTGCCACAGATACGATACACTGTGTGTATCATGGAGAATTCTGCAAAGCTGCATGGCCAAAAACCAAATTTGTTGAATCTCCTTGCAAATAAAAGCAGATTGGTCAGATGGTTTTTTTTTTATTGGGGCTCAGATACATAGTGATACATGGCAGATACGGGCAGATACCGTATCTGTGGCAGCGTTGAGCGTAGCCAGGAGGGAGATATCACCAAATTCAAGGCCAAGATTGTAGCGCAAGGTTTCAAGCAGGCCCATGGTCAAAATTTCAGTGAAACGTTTGCTCCAACACCTACTTTTGCTTCTCTGCGTTTACTGTTGGCAATGGCATCAAGACATAAGTGGCCTGTGGCATCCTTTGACGTGAAAAGTGCTTTTCTGCATAGTGATATTGATCATCCAGTCTACATTTGTCCACCGCCGGGTGTATCTGTTAGGCCTGGTTGTGTTCTCAATCTTTGGAAGGCACTCTACGGTACAAAACAAACGGCTAGATGTTGGTGGCTTCATCTGAAAAATCAACTCGCAAAAATTGGTTTCACTCCAAACTTGGAGGATCAATCTACCTATGTTTATTGCTCCAGTGAGGATCGTGCGTTCTTATGGGTTCATGTGGATGATGGTCTTTTCACAGCTAGTTTGTCAGCTCTCCTGGAGTTGCTCAAGTCAAAATTGTTTTTGGTTTTGGATCTCAAGTGGGATGATACTCTGGAAAGTATTGTCGGACTTAGAGTACGGGAGGTCAATGGCGGTTTCCGGATAGACCAACCCATGCTTGTTCAAAAGATAATTGATTTCCAACCTTCGACTATCTTTACGAGAACACCAATTGCGTCAACTGATCTTGTATCCAATGTCTCTGATGGGTCAATGGACAAGGATTATTTGTCTCGGATTGGTTGTCTCCTTTATCTAGCACAGGGCTCACAACCGTAAATCACCTTTGCTGTTCAATTCCTTGCACGTTTTTCTTTGAAGCCAGATGCAACTCATTGGGCTACCCTGAATCATCTCATCTCATATATCCAATACAGCTCCTGCCTTACTCTTCCAATCATTGCGACCAAGCCTTTTAAGACCAGTGTGGAAACTTTTGTTGATGCAAACTGGGGTGGTGAATTATCTCGCTCTGTAAACGGATTCATCTCGACGGCATGGGGTGCTCCAATTCATCCAAATGTCAGACATGTGTTGCTCGTTCGACTTGTCAGGCCAAGTACATGGCCCTATCTTTTGCTTCCAAGGACGCCTGTGTTCTTTTTTCAATACTGTCTAGTTTCTACAGTCTTCCACCTCCTCTTCTTTTCTGCAACAACAAGGCCGCAGTCCACATCAGTTCGGACTGTGGTACCAGGAAGGAACTCCAACGCATGGACCGCAAGTTTCATGTCATCAATGAACTCTTATATTTCAAGAAGGTTCAATTGGAATGGATCCCCACTGACAGGCAACTGGCAAACATCTACACCAAGGCACTTGGCTGGCGCAAAGTCTTGGAGTTTTTGAAGGCAACTGGGTTGTGTTTGCAACCCAACACTCTGGCAAGTAAAGGGGGGACAGTATGCACTGGCAGCGAGAAACATGCACCCCCCCACATCTGTTTGTCTCCCTCCGCAACCCCCACCTGATGATCATGATTGATTAGTTCTTCAGAAGCTAACCGTTCACTGGTTATATTTTACAGTCTCCAACCGGTTGTCTTACTCCAATGCTGGACATCCCGCTTGTTATTTTCCTATTATTTTTCTGTTATCTTTTTCCTTTTCCTCCTTATTTCTCTGTCTCTCTTTCTGTTTTCAGCTTTCTGTTATTTCTTTTCAATTTCTTTTTTCCTTTACTTTCCTACCTTATCTTCAATTTCCTTATTGATCTTCTCTCATCCAGATATTTTCTCCATTATTTCTTCAACAATTTTTTGATCTTTCAGTTTATTTTCTTCTTCTATCTCTGTTACTCATTTCATTTTTACTACATATCTTTTCTGAACTTATTATTTCCTTTATTTTCACTTCTCTTTGTGTTTTTTTGTGTGGTTGATGAGGGGGGGGAGTGTTGTGACTGAATATGGATTTATTCATATATTTATATTTTCTCATGGATTTAGATTTATTTTTCTCACAATTTCATTATTTTATAGTCTACTATGTTTTTATTCCTCATCAACCCAACTATGTATTTACAGAATTGTATGTATAGTTACTAGTGATCAAGAAATAAACTTTTCCCTTGGGGGAGTTTTCCATCTCTTTCTCATTTGAGGATCCGTGACTCTACAGGGGGGAGGCATGGGATTGAGAGATTTGTTGCCTGTGGATTGGTTGAAGATTCAAGAGTAATCCATTTACAAACCAAAAAAAGGGACTTTGTGGTTCCGGAAGAATGTGATCCTTGACTACATACTCGTCGGGGCAGTGCGGTCGATTCTCTCCCCCCGTGTGGTGGACCGGGTTCAGGAACACTACAAACTGAAAACACCTAAATACTAAAAAAAAACAAAAATCGACGGAGAACCAACCACAACGAACGAAACTGGTCAATGGCAAAGCAAACAACGATCGAACAACATCAGAACTGTATCAACCATCCACTAGCCACCAACCAACATCAACAACAATCACCAACAAGAACGAGACCATACTCATCAAGCACTAATCTAAACACGATGACCACCACTTCACCAACCAGCAAGGGGAAACTAAAAGCAACCACTTACTACTCAGACGAGAACCCAACAGGAACAACAGCAACTCAAGAAGAATGGCCAGAACAAGCAGAAGAAGAAGAGGAGGAACGAACTGGCTTACTAGACAACCATCAACAAAAACCATCAACAAAACATAAGAAAAACTCAAGACGACGAAATTCAAACAAGCCAATCATAACTCCTTCGATCGAAAGAGAGTCATTGATCGAACGAATCAGAAGACTCGGAACTCAAACTTACACCGGAAAATCCAGAACGATCCCATTCAACCCTCCCGGTGCGTGTCAAAGAAGTTAGGGGTGAGAAACCCAACTGTCTCTCTGTCCACACTTTCAATCGTAATCCCCCCAAAAATTATCTTCAAAATTATTCTGCTGACTTGAATTTATCTTTCAAAATACATAGACCATTTCAGATCACGTTTCCCACCCAACATCGTCCGAAATCAAAAGTACAATCTGATCAGTTTCATCCCACTAGTATTATACGAACAATTCAAGTTTTTCTTCAACCTATATTTCCTGGCCGTAGCCATGTCCCAATTCGTACCAGCCCTGAGGATCGGACTATTAATGACATATGTAGCCCCCTTAGGATTTGTACTGATGATCACCATAGGAAAAGAAGCACATGATGATTATCTAAGAAGACAACGAGATTCGATAGCCAACTCGAGCCGATATCAGATCCTGGATTGGTCCTCCAAACCAACCGCTCACAACCCACTCTCCAACTCTCACCATCATTCATCAGCATCAGCATCAGCATCAGCATCAGCATCCACCACCACCACCACCTTCACCCAGATCCAAGCCGACTCCTCGAATCCGAATATGACGTCATTACTACCGATCAAGACGATCCCTTCGGCCCAAATCCGAGTCGGTGACATCCTGCTATTAGACAAGAATATGCGCGTGCCAGCCGACCTTGTGCTGCTACGAACCTCTGATCAAACCTCGGGTTCATGCTTCATTCGCACCGACCAACTGGATGGCGAGACCGACTGGAAACTGAAGCTGGCGCTCGAGTTCACCCAAAACCTGACGGAGGGTGACGCCGGGCTACTGGCCCTTGACGGTCAAGCTGAGGACGACGATCGACTAAGGACGACCATCAACCGCAAGGATTCTGACCAAGGAAGTAGAAGAAGTCGACGGGCAGAGGTCTATGCGGACAAGCCGATCATGGACATCCACACCTTCAATGGGACCCTATTGATCCATTCACGAGAAGATACAATAAGAAGGAGAGAAACAGAGTCGGATCGAGACCGACAACAACCCCGTCTCGGTGACGATTTAGATCCAGTACGAGACTCGATCGACGACATCGAGATTGCCTCGATGCACGAGATCCTACCATCCCATCGAACCACCAACACCACACCCACAGAAGAGACCCGAAAAGTCCCGATCACATCTGAGAACGTCTTATGGGCCAACACCGTCTTGGCCGCCGGACAAGCCGTGGGCTTGGTGATCTATACAGGCACCGAAACCCGCGCGGTCATGAACACTTCTTACCCTAAAACAAAGACAAGTCTCTTGGACATCGAGATCAACCAATTGGCGAAGATCCTCTGTATCGTCACCTTCACTCTCTCAGTGGCTTTAGTAGCCTTGAACGGTTTCCGAGGTCCATGGTGGATCTATGTGATCCGCTTCCTGATCCTTTTCAGCTCGATCATCCCGATCTCGTATGTCTTCTCCCCCTTATGAAACACTCCGTTTGTTAAGTTGACCCCTCTTCATATCTACTTGATCATCTGTAGCTTAAGGGTTAACTTGGACATGGGAAAGACCGTGTATGCTCATCAGATAGAGAACGATCTAGAGATCCCAGGGACGATAGTGAGGACGAGTACACTTCCAGAAGAGCTAGGAAGGATTGAATATTTGCTTTCAGACAAGACCGGCACACTGACCCAAAATGGTACTTAACCCCACTCCGACCAAGGGAAAAAGTTTTCAAGCTTACAAACAACTCACTAAATCACAATCTTTGTTTTAAAATTAGAGATGGAGTTAAAGAAACTGCATATGGGTACGGTGGCTTACGGGCTAGATTCAATGGACGAAGTTGCCCTCCAATTGGCCACTGCCTTTGGAGATAATCCACCCGATCCGCTCGGAAATCCGGCTGGTTCTGGCTTACCTACTGCCTCATTATTGGCTACTCGTGGGAGAAGAGACATGTCTTCGAGGGTTAAAGATGTGATCTTAGGTTTGGGATTATGCCATAATGTAAGAGATCAGGATTTTGAAGAATGATAGATGAGAAAGATGTTTGATTAACCGATCATCGCTTTTTTGGGGGGTGTTGATCATAATGAAGGTGACGCCAGTCACTAACGATGACGGTTCCGTGACTTACCAAGCATCCTCACCGGACGAAGTAGCGATAGTAGCATACACAGAATCCGTAGGATTGAAGTTAGTTTCGCGGGACCGAAGTGGGATGAGTTTGCGGACGACAACTGGCCAAAGATTAGAGTTTGAAGTCTTAGAGATCTTTCCGTTTACCTCAGAATCCAAACGAATGGGGATCATTATCCGAGAGAAGAAGAGTGGCGAGCTGACGTTTTACCAGAAGGGAGCCGATGTGGTGATGGCCAAGATCGTCCAATCGAACGATTGGCTCGAAGAGGAGTGTGACAATATGTCTCGAGAAGGATTACGGACCTTAGTGATGGCCAAGAAGAAGCTCTCCCAGGATGCATACCAACGTTTCACGAGCAGATATCTTTCGGCCCGAGTAGACATGGTCACCGAGGACCGTCAGGAGGCGATCCAGCGGGTGATCCGGGAGGAGCTGGAGAACAACCTCGAGCTACTTGGCGTCACCGGGGTCGAGGACAAGCTCCAAGAGGATGTCAAGAGCACACTGGAGTTACTCCGGAACGCCGGGCTGAAGATCTGGATGTTGACGGGTGACAAGATCGAGACGGCAACATGCATCGCAATCTCCAGTAAATTAGTCTCACGGGGGCAATATATCCACCAAGTCTCGAAGCTTCAAGGCCCGGAGAAAGTGCAGAAAGAGCTCGAGTTTCTGCAACAGAAACAGGACTGTTGTTTAGTGATAGACGGCGAATCACTAGCGAGTTGCCTGAGTTATTTCGAAAGCGAGTTCATCGAAGTGACGACGAAGTTACCAGTAGTAGTAGCCTGTCGGTGTTCGCCAACCCAAAAAGCCGAGATCGCCAAGCTGATTCGTCTGTATACCAAGAAACGTGTCTGTTGTATCGGCGACGGTGGGAACGATGTCAGTATGATTCAAGCCGCCGATGTGGGCGTTGGGATCGTGGGGAAAGAAGGCAAACAGGCCTCGCTGGCCGCCGATTTCTCCATCAATCAGTTCTCCTTTCTCACTAAATTGTTGCTTTGGCACGGCCGAAATTCTTACAAACGGTCTGCTAAACTCGCCCAATTTGTCATCCATCGGTCCGTCTTTCGTTCTCTTTTACTCTGTCGTTGGATTATTAACGTCGTCTGACTCGAGAATCCTCCTGCAGTGGTCTCATCATCTCCGTCATCCAAGCCGTCTTCTCTTCCGTTCTATACTTCGCTCCTGTCGCTATCTACCAAGGCTGGTTGATGATGGTCTGAGTCCCCTCCACCTCCATCTTCCCAACCTCTTCAATCACATTGACACTTATTCTTTTTGTTTGGTTTGCTGGATAATGATCTCTCTGCTTGTAGGGTTATGCTACTTGTTATACTATGGCTCCCGTCTTCTCTCTTGTTCTCGATCAAGACGTAAACGAAGACGTTGCATTACTTTATCCTGAATTATACAAAGAACTAACCAAGGTAAGCTGACAAAAAAAGCCAATAAAAGGGAAGGAAAAGAGAGAGAGTCAGTTGACTGAAAGAAACGGGTGTGTATGTATAGGGGCGATCGTTATCATACAAGAGTTTTTTCACATACTTTATGTCGGCGGTTTTCCAAGGAGGAGTGATCATGATCCTGAGTCTGATCCTGTTCGAGAACGAGTTTCTGAATATCGTCTCGATCTCATTCACCTCCTTAATCCTGACCGAGTTGCTCATGGTCGCCCTCGAAATCACTACCTGGTCCGTCCCTCCCCATCACGCTGCTCATCTTCTTCTTTTCGTCCATCCGAGTCCTGATCATTCCGCTCGTCATCCGCTGCTCTTAGGCATAGGTACATGATCGTCGCTGAGGTCGTCACGTTGCTGTTGTACTTGACCAGTATGGCTTTCTTGCCTGAATATTTCGGTTCGTATCTCTCTCTCCTCATCACTTGCGTTTTTCTTTCAATTAAAAAAAATACATAAATCGGAATGACTTTGAACTAAAATCTTATTTTTTTGCCCAAAAAAATAAAACTGAAAATAAACTTCAAAATAAAAGATTTATCGTTTGTCCTAACGATTTCATTTCTATGGAAAGTCTCGCTTATTACAGCCGTCAGTTCGGTGCCATTATATATAGCCAAAGCGCTTCGAAGTTACTTCGCCCCTGCGTCTTATGCTAAGTTTCGTCCCGCTTTCCCTACCTCCACTCTCTCTGTTCCTTTTCAGAAAAAAAGAAAAAACTTATTTTGGCCAAAAAAAATGTTTTTTGTAGGTTACGTGATTATTGAGGGGAAAACAAATGAGAGTGATGAATGTCTCGAGTTGGACGTCGTAGATATCCAAGCACATTCGTCTAATTCTAACCCAAAACCCCATATAAACAAACCCCAAGAAAGCTCATTTAAATGTCCCACAAAAGAGTCTCATTCAGACGGACTGTTATATACACACACTCACACACATTCATCATTTTTTCTGGCACTAATAGTCTCCTCTTGATGTATGTATGTAAATATGTACTTTTTTGGTCTTAATCATCATCTTTTGTTTGCTGGTTCTTTTTTGCTTGTCTAGCAATTTAATTACATTCTTTATGAATGTTTGGCGGGAGGGTTATCATCATTTATTTCTCTTCAAAATGATGATTATCATTTAGAATTGAGTGTCCAGATCTTTCCTCCTTCTCAAAAAGATAAATATGATACGGTGGTGATATCACAGCCAGGGTTTTCTACGATATCATTGTTCTATTGTGAACATCTGCCAACCCGGCCACTTTGTATTTTTCTTTTAGGCAACTTGCAGAAGAAACAGTATGGTTTGCATGTGTGGGCATGTGGATTGGTAAGAAAGGTTGTGAGGGGCATATTGCGCATGTTTCACTAGCCCCGTTCTCGATAAGAAGCGAAGGAAGATGTGTGGAAGGATCATGAGGACCCGAAGATTGACGATAATGACAAGTTGACGGGATCAAGATGTAAAGTACCGATGACTTAATCTTCATCTTCTCCTTCCTCATCTTCATCTTCCTCCGACTCAGTCTGAGTCGTACTAGAAGCCGTCCGCAAGTGATCTGCGAGTTTCTTCTCCTTGGCCGACTCGAAAGACCCATAGGAGTTGATGAGCGCGGTGAGCGTGCGATTAGACTGGACGCGTACCCGGGCGAGGGTCTTGGCGAGCTCGGACAACGGAATGGGGCCGCCCGTGCTGGAGCTTGAAGCGACCGGTTCAATGATCAGTTCTGTGGACTCCTGCTGAGTGCTTCTTCTGTCTTCAGCTCCCGCCGTCTCGTCCGTCGTCGTCGGCATATGCAACCGCAGAGATAGTCTCACACTCGCGGGGCCTGCTCCCTCGTCGTTCGCCATATCGTCTGCTCTGCTTTCTATCCTTCACTTCGTCAGTTTCTTTCTCGTCGTCTGGACAAGTTTATGTTGGTTTATCTCTTGTCCTGTGTAAGCTCCGACAGCAGTATGTAAACGAATATCGAGTTGCGAGTCTCTGGTAACCAAAACAAAATCATCATAATCAAGCAAGCCCAAAATCAGTACTCATGTTATCTACATGATCCATTTCAACGATCGCATTGGAAGGAGAGAAAGGGCAAAAAAGCCACAAGGAAAAAGAAAGCTTACCAGCCGATTAATTTTCCGACATGAACACCACGAAGACAAAGTACAATTTACCAGGTGATGTGAGTTGAGTGAGGAGACGGGAGTGCGGCTGTTTCGGGGGAAGTTCGGGGCCTCAATCAGGACCAACTGAGCTACAAAGCAGCATGCAATTTGGGTTCAAAATTCCATTCCACTGTGGACCATCAGAGTGGACCATCAGATTTGCTGATCAGCTAATTAAATCATGATGGTGCATTACAGTAAATTTCTTAAGGACCCAGTATTTATAGAAAAAACCTATACCTATATACATACTTGGGTTGGTGAGAAACAAAAACCCGTACATCCATAGACTATGTATATAAATAGGGTGAGAAAACTATAAAAATCTGACATGGGAATTCAGGTCATAACAGCCTCATCAGACTTCTGTGGACCAACAGGTGTGGCAGGTACACCACGGGGCCAGTTTTTTGAAACTGGCCCCATCCGCTGGACGCTTTCCTGAAGAGAGCGTCCAACGGATGCGATCAGAGCGTCAGAGGGACGCTCTGGCGAGCCAGCATCACTTGGATGCTTCCAAAAGCATCCAAGTGACGCTGGCCAAATATGAAGCGTCCAATGGATGCTAGGATTTATTGTGCATTGGACACTCTCCAACCAAGAGGGTCCGATGGATGATGGTTTTTAGTGTGTCCATTGGACACTTTGATTTAACATTGCCAATTGGAGCTGGTGGTCGATGGTCGAAAAAAGATCCAAAAGTGCGGTCAATGGTAGAAAAAAACTCCAAAAAAGCCGTTGATTGTCAAAAAAACACTCCAAAGTGCGGTTGATCGTCAAAAAACACTCCAAAAGTGCAAGTGATGTGATTGTCAAAAAAATCTCTAAAAATGCACTTGATCATGAAAAAAGGCTGTGAAATGGCTTTGGTCTATCAACAACAATTTGGATTCACTTGGAAGAACAATTTTGTGTAGTGCAATCAGTGAGGACAAGCTTTGGGGATATGCAATGGCACCTCAATGATGTCATGGGTTCAACCCTGAGGCTGCTCATTTTTTTCTTATCAGTGCAAAGAAAAGCATCCATTGGACGGCTTGAAAACTATCCAATGGACAGTTTTCCAGAAAATGTCCACAAACTGTCAGGCAGAGTAGTGTCCAATGGACACTCTCTGCCCTGCAAGTTCTGGACAGCTCAGATGATGTCCAGAAGAGTGTCCATGGGACATCAGAATGGTCCCGTGGTGTATGGGACATGGGCAAGGCCAACAATACCCTTGAGTGTTGCGGGTATTAGGCCTTTGCAAGGGGTGGTGAGCAGCTGCTGGCCCAAGAAGGATGGGCAACAAAGGCAGCCACATGAGTATGTATGTTTTTGGGGAGCAAGTGGCCAGCTGCGTTCATTTCAGAGCAGGCAGCCAACTGTGTGTTTTATTGCAATTTACAAAGCAGAATGAAAAAAGAGAATATAATATATTAAAAGGGGTGATTGGTTGGAGGTGAGGTGAATGATGAGTTGATGACTGTGCTGTTACAGTTTAGCAGCAAGCAGGCTCCTAGTCCTATATCCAGCCTCCCGGTCTGGTAGGTGCTTGTTGGGAATAGCTGCCATACTTTGCATAGCCTGGGGCAGCCACCCGCGTCCTGAACCACCCCACAGGTATACAAAATCCCCGCTGTCTGTACCCAATATGTACCCTAGGGTATGTTGTGGGCAGCCTGATTTTGAAGCCGCCAGCCAGGTATACCCTTGAGTTGGGGCACTGGGTACCCTGTGGGGTCCAGTGCTAATTGCAGTGTGTATCACCTCTTCTTGACTACCCCAGCCCTGATTAACAGTAAATATACAGCAAAATTTGACAGGGACCTGTCAACAATTGACTGGTCCTAGCCACAATTGCAGTTTATACTGTTTATAAGTAAAACTTTACATAAGCAGTTTTGGACACCATATATACATCAAACACAGAGCACCAAAATATGTAGTGCATGGCAAAAAATTGCCTCTAACGGATTAAAATGTTTTTTTCGGGGATTCCTACAGGTAATTACTACATAGTTTCTTGTTCTGTGTTTGATGTAACACTTTTTGATGTGTATTACATACTTGTACTGTGAGAATTACATCTGAACATATGGCTAAAAGTTGGTGTTTTTTCTGCAGGGCTGGGGTCGTTGAGAAGAGGTGATGTGCACTGTAAACATGCAGGAAGTACATCATATTTGTAGTGAGGGCTCCTTGGGACAGAAAGGTGACAGCAAGAAGCATGGTGAGCTTTTTGAGAAACAAATCTCAATGCCCTTGAGGAAGGGTTGGTCATTGGGAAAGGCATGTGATCAGGTAACTTCCCGGGTATTTCTGGGTGTGGGTGTGGGTACAGATGTCTGATCTGAGCCAAAAACCACCAGATACCCAGGCTCACAGGGGCCAGCTCTAGCAGCTACCATTAGGGATAGAGAGGTACCTGGCAATAGGTTCCAGGTACTGCAAGGCCATCCTTAGTTCCACAAAAAACAGTGACAGATGATAATGTAACAACAGTCTATTTTACTTTCCCTAGCTTCCCATTCAGTTACCTAGACTGCAGATATATTCTCCCTCTCTGTCTAGCTTTCCTAAAATATAAAACCTGTCTCTAGAAAATCTCTGTGTTGGTGCCCCAGCACTAAGAACCAGTGAAGGAAAAAATGTAGTCCTCAAACTAGACACTTTATAAGTTCGCCATTTTAGGCTCACATGCATTCATGAATGCAGAGGAGAAGTTTCCAGAAGAGCAGGACTTACTACTATGTGCTCAAAACACAGCTATGTTTCTATTTCAGATGGGACTAAACAGATAGAAATATCAAAAAGGGGAATAATTGGGGGACCAAACATCTCAGAGTAATGATAAGGAATATGATGAAAATAAAAGCAAGACTTCTTTTAGGAATATGTAGAAATTCTAACAAGCAACAGCATATTCAATATTCATGAGATGAAAGAAAGGGGAATAAAGAGGTGAAATTTCAATGGAACAAGAAAACAAAAATTGAACAAAAAGATTCAAAAATATGAAAAAACATGTAAGAATTTGATTTTCATGGAATTCTAGATGATGATCCATTACTATCATGCTGAAAATATAAAAATGAACAACAAAAGTGAAAATTGGTAATGAATAAATTGTTTATATTTTGTTGATGCACAACTTAAAGTTTCAATACATAATGCTGTGTTTAAATTCTAAGTTCTTTGACCTTCTCATCCAGCCATGAGAGACATTCCTCTTTTGATGCAGTCTTAACCATCTCAGTGAACTCCTGAGCCTTTTTTTCATCATCCATCAAACTGAGATAAGACTGAAAAGTATGATACAATTCTGAATTGTCAAAAAATTCTTCTGGAATGTCATATTGTGAATAAAATGTGACATCTTTAAATGCAGAAGATTCTTCTCCAAATGATGGAACAATCCCATCTGATTTTTGGTTTATCTTCTTGGAAACAACAGAACTTCTTATAATACGTTCAGAGGCTTCTGGTATTGCCTTTTTTCTTGTGGCTTCATTATCTATTATTACTTTTTCTGATGAAGGTTTTTCTACCAGCTCTTCAGCCTCAATTTGCTTGTCATACAATTCAAAGGGTACATCTTGAATGTTTTCAAATTCTCTTTTTGATAGGGAATGCAAGAGATCTTCCCAAGTCTTTTCATCAGCCTCATTATGATCAATTGATTGCTTCACTAACTCCTGAATAAATGATTTTTCTGGATTAGGGCTAGTATATGCTTCTTGATCAATTTTTTTCCCCAAAAAATCAACAAATTGCAAAAATTCACTCCAGTAATCCTCACTGATATCAAAATTAGTCAAACTATCTAATAAACTATTGAACGAATGTTTTATTGTATTTCTATTGGATGACCAGTTATTGGCATTGGATTTGATTTCTTCAAATATTGAATTTTGTTTGTGATCAAAATTGAAAATTAAGTACAGGAATTTTCCAGGATATGTGTTTTCTTCCATTGACTTTTTCAAAGGATATCTGAAGTGTTTTTGTGCCATTCTATAGATTCCCAAAACATTTTCCTTTGTGATTTAGTTAAACATTCCAGGAAAGCTTTCCATTTTGCAATGAGAAACTTCTTTTTAATTGGCTCAGAAATTTCCTCGGTTGGTTTTTTTTCATGCCCCTTCAAAATCTTCAACAGATTTTTCTCTTTTTCTTGATTGAGAGCAAAATTGACAATCAAATTTTCAATTATTAGAAGCTTGTGATCTTTAATTACTTTACAATTGTCTTGAGTTATGATTTTCCCTTTTGAATAAGAGTGACCCATGTGATTCAGCTCATTCAAATTTGTTTGCCCAAATTTTCAACAGGATGAAAACAAATGCTACCCACCACTTGAGATATCAAATTCATTTGATTCCTTACTTTCATCCAGTCCTTCATTCTTATATGGCACTACTGAAAATTCAGATGGGTTACCACCAGAGATTTTTCCTCATATTAACAAGTAAAAATATGGAGTGATTCCTTACTCAAATTACTAACCTTCTGCTTGTTGATATTTTTCAAAGGCTAAAAAAATTGGCATCATTATTTTTCGTCAGTAAAAAGTTACAAAAAACCCTTCCAAAATATTTGACATGTAAGATCATGACCTACAATTTACTTTTCCAAATTCTCTAATAGCTAAAGAATTCAAATTACCAAATATTGAAATTCATATTTTGTCAATCTGAAATTTGAGTCAA